GAAGGATTTAATTGAGGATTGTCATTAAATCTGAAATTGATTTCAGATTTTATTGTGTTTAGGAGGTTTCCTAATATACGTTATTAATATGGAAAGCTTTAGAATTCAAATTTGAATTTGAATCTAAATAAAACAACTTTTCCAAATTAATAGGGACGTAATTTATGAAAGTAATTAAGGGTGATTTTGAAATTTGAAATTCAAAATCCTTGGGTAGTGGGTTGATGGCCGGCAGTTAGTGGGGCTTGGGGGTGGCCGGCGGGGAGGGCTGGCTGGGGATTTGGTGGTGGTCGGGTGAGGGGTAGGTCAGTGGCATAAGGAGAGGCGGTTTGGGTGGGGTTCAATTTTGGGAGGAAGAAAGGGAATGGGGTTTTGGGAGGCCGGCGGGTAGGGGCTAGGAGGGGAGATGAAAGTTAAAAAAAAAATAGAAAAGAAAGGAATGGAGCCGCGAACTTTGGAATCCACCGAAGGTTGACGGGTATTGCTCTCACCCACCAAGGATCTCTCCTCTCAAGAACTCACTTAGAGATCAAGTAAGAAATATGAAATTTCATTCTTAATTCATCATTAACCCTCAAGGAAGGAGGGGACGACTTTAAATAGTCAATACAATGTGACAAATAAAAAGTACTAAAATGCCCCTAGGGCTTACACATGTCTAAACCCTTAAGTAAGGGCAAAAGTGGAAAAGAAAACAAAATCATAAACAAAACTAATACATCAAATAATAAAAGTGAACATAAAACAAAGTAGAGCGGATGTCCTCATCATGAAGCTTAATAGTTGAGTGCTTTGGTGCGTGGTAGAGAAGATGTGGCTGAAGTTTTGATTGTGGGGTTATTTGTGGCTGCTGAGGTGGACAAAATCATCCGTGGTGGTCTTTGAGGTTGAATTGAATGAGATGTCTCCGACAATTAGTAATTGGCTTTGCAAGGGTTTTTTTGCAAATGGTTGTTAACCGCAATCTTAAAAGTCATTAGCAATGACTTTTTATCTATAGAGTTTGGGCTTTGAAAATTTGCACCCGGCTCTTTTGAGGGAGTTTATTTTGGTTGAAATTTTCAAATGTAGATTAAGTTGTAAAAAAGGCACTGCCTAGAGATTTCAACCTCATTTTTTGAAAAATTATTTTGTTCTAGGTTTCACATAGTCAATGGCTTTTATGATTTATTATCACTTCTGGTGACATGAAAGAACTTTTAATTAAGGCTAATCGTTATGCGCTAAATTCCTAACGTATAATAGCACCAATATTGGTTTTTTGATTGATGGACATTTAGCATCGTTAGCTTAAAGTGGATGGTAGGAGAAATAATGATGAACCCGATCAAAAATCATGGTTCCATTGTCCCATGTTGTAATGCACTTTGGTCTACATAGTTAGCGGAGGTGTTTGGCACATAATGATTGAAGGATCCTTATAAGTAACCATGAGTTGAGTTGTTCAAGAGAACCTTATAGACCAAGCATGAATTTTTATCTAAAAAGTCAATTTTGAGTCGACCTTAACTATGTGCATTATATGATTCATAACTTAAAGGGTTGAAGCTATTTGGGAATGTACGGGCTACAACCATGATCATAACATTGTGCGGTAAACCACCCTATCATTGGACCACTATCGTGATCTTTATTTATCGATGTTATTTTGCGGCGAAACCACCTGTTTAGGAGACACAGGCCACTCCTTATTGCCATTATATCTTTTGAAGATTATCTTAGTGACACACCTGATATGACATTTGACTCTTTGTGAGTTGAGGTTGATATCAAGTCAAGGGGGACGTGGGCTTGAGCCTTGGATGCCATGAAATTGATTTGAAATGGATTTTAGGCTTAAAGGGATCCCATGGTCAACCCTGGTTAACTTGGTCAACTGGGTTGACGCAGGGTCCAAGTCCAGGCTCAATAGACTCGACTCGACTCACTGAACCCATTGGAGAGAGTCTTGGGGTCTGGATTGGTCAATTTGACCAAATCAACTGTCCAGGCCCAAGTCTGGGCAAAATCGAGGTCAACAATTGCTTGCTTTTAGAATTGTTCATGATTCTATGAGCAGAGTGAATTTGATCTTAGCTTATTTTTGTTATGTGTAGCATTCTCAGATGTTAAGTTTGAGCATTTAGTACGTTTGTTTGAGGACACATGGGTATATGATTTTTAATGATTTGTTGTCATGCTTTAAAAGGACATATACATCACATTTTTTAAAATTTATCATGAAATTATTAGTAGAAAAATTTCATACTCCTCAAGGTTGTTAGATGCTTATAGAGGCAGTTACATGCTTCTTAAGATGCATACTTCTCGAGAAAATTCAGGTTTGAATTTATCTTATTTTTAGTTCCAGCAATTCTCATCTTTTTCTTGAGTGTTCAGCATGTTTGACGGTGCACATAATGACAATTTTTGATTTCAAGGGTTTGAATACAATTTAGAGGGCATGCATGCTTTTTTGGTGTATTTGCATTTTGCATTCGCATGGTCTTCGGTGCATTTGTGTGGTACATTTACACGTTTTTGGGTGAATTTGCTTAGTGTACTTATACACTTTTTAATGCATTTGTATAATGCATTTACACGCTCTTTGAGGCATGACAAATTTGAAATGTTTGCACAAATATAATGTCATTTAGTTGCGCATAAAGTTTATTTTGAATTTTATACGGCTGCTTTCTCTCCACTTGTGTATATGTTTTGTGAATCCTGTGGGCTTGTGGCGTTGTGTTATGAGCTATGATCCTATTATCACATTTTTTCATGATCTCAAAGTTCGTGTTCATTTGAATGTAATTTTACATTGTCGATCTCACAGGGAGTTATTTTTCCTTCTATAAATAGGAGTGTATCTCGATTCATTTCATCGCATTTAAGTTCACTGTGTTTTCTTGGGAGTTTTTGGTGTTTGTTTGAAGCAACTTTGCTCTTTTCTTGCATTTGGGAGGGTTCTTTAAGTCCCATGTTAGTCTTGTTAAATTCAATATTGTTCCTCTTTTTTGCATCTCAATTTTCATTATACAACGACCCAAATGATATGAGGGGTTCATTTTGGGTATTTTTTTTATGCTATGGATGCATTGTTGCGGCTTGTCTTCCAAGATAAGTGATGCTTGAGTGTTTTTTTAATGTGATTGAGGCATTTTTAAGTAAACTCCCATGATACTATGTATGTTGTCATCGTTGTCATTGCGTTCAATTGACATGACCACGGGTGTCCTTTTTTTGTAATTTCGATGTTCCAATTGCATTGGCGCACTTTGCTTCATGGAATGAATGTTGTTTGGATATTTTTATATAAGCAGGACATTTCGAAATAGGTTCACATGACAATCCATCCATTAGCCATCATTATCATCACATCTGTTCAGTCGACTTGTGGAACGGATATGGGGACCAACAGCATGCTCTCTTCTCTATCTTGTTGGGTAAGTAGGCAAAAAATGTCCTTCACAAGATGGCGTCATATGTGGGAAATCAAACCTAGTTTATATGCAGGAAATCAAACCTAGTTTATGTCGAAACAGTGGTGTGGCTATTGATCTATGTGAATGTGTCATCACGAGGATCACCTCCTTTTACTACATAGCCTTTTATGATGAAGATAATTCATAAACGCCTCCTGACAAGCATTCTCTAGCCTTCCCTAACCATTGTACGTTGGTTCTATCAATAAATTTTTGTTTCTTAGCATGTTCAAATGAAATTAGCGCCATTAATCTTCAATCTGCAATTTTGAAACTTGCATTTCAGGGTAAGTTTTCTAACAAAGATGGTCTTGTAAGTTTTCTCCATCTAGATTTCATCCCCTTGTAAGTCTGTTGAGAAAGACCTTAACCACAAAAGATATTTCCAAAGAATTTCATAAAAGCTAATTTGGGAAGTGGTGATCGGAGGATGCTGGTCTTGGGTACCATACGACCCCTCTCACTCCACTTCTTGCAATACCAACAACTTTGGGCCTTTGCAGTTTGTTAAAATTGCAAGCCTTATTGCACAACATGAACTTAACCAATTTCAACAGTATGACATTTGTGCAGAACATTGTGAGTTTGTTCCATAGATACCGTGTTGTGTTCCTGATTTATTTTGATGATGGTATGTCTAATAGAAGACTTTTGAATTTTAATTTTCAGAAATAGGAGAGGCTTTCAATGAAAATAATAAGAAATTCTACAAACCACTGACCTGATGCTTGACATGGACATTAATCTGGCGAACCTTGTGCTTATCATTTTTATTGAGAAAATGGTCATGCTATTATTTTTAACATATAAAATTGAGATCTTAACCACTCCGAGTTTTACAAATTACTTATCTATTTTTCTCACTTTTTAGAAGATTAGTATTTTACACTACTCTTGTTTTCATACTGCTAATGTATGGATATCCGCTAAATGTCCTTCTAGATGTTGAGAAATTTATAGCATCTGTAGCTGACGTGTGCTGGTTGGATAAAGAGAAGAAGATAAAGTCTTTGGCAGAAAGATACAAAGATATATGGAATACTGTTCCTGAGTAAGCTTTGAAATTCTAGGCTTGCACAGTAATATTCCTTTTTGTTTCAGTGAACACCACAACTAACATTAATTTTGATTTTTGCAAATGATTTATAGTGTCTTCCTCTTGATTGTTAAGGAAAGCCTTAAACTCATCAATGCTTATTGAGCATGCTTTTCATCAAATGTCATTTCATGCCAAATGAACTGTGAAATTCTTAATGCATCTTTCACTTTCAATTTATTTACTTTACTTAAATTTATGTATTTCTATCTGCGTTTGAGATGCTTTACTTAGGCAATTAAAAAAAACACAGTAGTGTCACTCTTTAGCCCGTCTTTTGTTTGGGCTTTTTTTTTCTTCAAAGAATCCATATATAGCTTATAATGGAAAGTAGAACCCATTCTTTTAGTCTCTGTTAGTGCCAATCTTTTCTGATTTTTTTAGATTTGACAATTATAATAGCTTTTAGCACATTAGCTGCAAATGTTTAATACTGGCTTTGTTATCTTGCCAGTGGAAGATTTCTTCTATGGTGCATGTTATTTGCATGATTTGCTGTCAAAAGCAGAACAATAAGACATTTCTGGAGTGTTGAAAGACAATTGGTCTGAGCATTAGGCATATTTGTGTTTGTTATCGTTTGTTCTGCTGGTTGTCAGCATAATAAGGACACTTATGTTTTAAAGCTTTGTTGAGTGGATGCTAGTTACCTTGTGCACTGTCATCTTCATAATAATAATCATGGTCATGTTTTCCTTCACTGATCTTATTGTGAATAATTATTGTCATCTTTGCCTTCAACGATTCTATTATGTTCTGGATATGTAATCATTTTTACCTTCCTCTTCATGTTTGATTTTCTTATGAGCCACATCTTTTGATCATCATCACAATTGTTTAGTAGAAGAGAAAAGTAAAGAAGAGAATTACAACAAGCAAATGTGATGTGTAATTGAAATTTAGTAGCGAAAGCAAAAACAGATGAGATGAAGATGTTGAACATGTTAGGATTTGTGGTTCTAATATTGTTTTAACATTTAGTGTAGATTTAGATGCAACTAAGGACAGCTTGATTTCCGTAGGGCAGAAGCTATTTATTATCTTCAATGAACCAGAAAAGAGAGAATATAATTCTAATCTAAGGCTTATATCCGTTTACTAGAAACTTATGAAGAAAAAATAAGGACCCACAAAAAGGCATGCACATGATTAAAATCTTATGCAGAAGATAAAAATCTAAATTATAGTAACTTTGACAAAACTCAATGTTATATTCAACCAATAAAAAATAGCCAAGAGGGAAAGAAAACAAGAAAAGTGAAAGTAGTTAACAAAGGGCAAGTCTTATGCTTGTACAGACACACTGAAGTAGTTAACCTTGTGAAAGTGTGCTTAGAAAACATTGAGGGTAATGGATCTAAGAACACCTTATGTTCTATGGGCTGATCGTCAAATAATGCAAACTCTGTATGCGAAAGCACCCTTCAGTATATGCGTTGGCATCAAAGATATGACCCCTATTGACATTATCATGCGCAACCCCTAAGTCATTGACTTTTTCCACATCCGGGAAAGATCCATCTTTGGTAGTCAATTTTTGGTCACAAATTTGTATATCTTGAATAAAGCCTTTATCAAGAACTCTAAATCTTGAAATTTTGGCCAAGCCAACATGTTATTCCCAGTACAAACCAGCAGCGTCACCATGATAGAAGCTTCTTCCATTACTGGAAGTACATTCAAATTTAAATAGTTGATGAAATAAACTATGTCTCAATTATGGTTCTGGAAAGAAGTAAACTAATCAACAATAATGTAGATTTCCTTGCACAGGAACTTACATAGGGAAACGCCAATGAATTCAAAGGTCTTGATCAACTTTTGTGCCAATGGAAAGCATATTCCTCCCATCAATGATGTCTTGGTATTCTTGCAAATTGAGAGAAATCTAGTGGGAAGCTTATGAGCCTTCTTGGACTGTCCTTAGAAAAATGAATTATATTTTATCTTTGTAGCTGAAACCATCGTTGAAGAAAAGCTATCTTCTTGATTAATAACTTTGAAGCAACTCCTTCAATTTAAAGTGCGGTATTTTTGTCCTTGATTATTAATGTGTGAAAAGAAAATCACATGCCGAAAACATCAATTTTATTTGCCAATATGTGTGTCTATTGAGAAAAGAGTTCATGCCTCATTTGAAGAAGTGGCCTCTAGCTATTAAGGCTCCATTGAAGCTCACCACTCATCACCATCACCTTGTGTGTAATACATGACGCATGTTGAAGATTTGACCTAAACTCACAATACATAAGTTGTCACATGGCAGTTGAATACACAACTTATAGAAGGCGACTCAATAAAAAACATGGTGTACAAATTCACCACTATTGGCTCGAACCCCTTAACAAGCGTCCTAATTGGCACCCAAACATGGTGGTAGCTAATGTATGTGTGCGGTATTGTCATAGTTGAGGTGGTACAACTACTTTTTATTGACCTGTGGAGTGTAGGCCTAGATGTGTTTGTCTCATGCATGTTGTTGGTCACCACAAACTTAATACAAGTTTGTGCTCATATGTGAGGGCGCAGGCCCACATGAGTTGTGGGGCTCGAATATTGATATGCCATGCTCATCTTGGTCTTCTTGACTCGAATTAGGGCTCGAACTACCTTTGCAAACAAACCTTTTTTTTGGTTGGTTAAAAAGATCATTTGAAAGCCCTGTTTAGTCCAGAGATGTTATCCAAGTGACTGTAACTTTAACAAAGCACCAAATAAAAGTTGACAGATTTGGATTAGTGGACTAGCAGCCTCTTAAAAGATGTCCATGTTGATTCTTAAAAATGTTTGCGGTCAAATGGTTTAAATTTAAGACCCTTCTTTTTGGAAGATGTTATTGAATGACCTCTGATCATGTGAAGTGGTACATTATAATGATTAATATGCAAATGACAAATGTTTTAGCACATTTTATAAAAGTTCAAACGACATTTGAGCAGTGATATGTCCTTAAAAAAAGTATTGGTTTCTAATTAATTTTGGATGTACAGTCAAGATTGTTAAATGAAATAGTTATTTTTTATTGTTATCGTCGTATTAGTAAAACTGGAGTTACAGACGCTTTAAAGAAAATAAAGTGCTGGAAACCAATGTGACCTAATGATATTTCAATAGAGGTGTGAAAATGGAGAGGTTTGATGGAAAAGTTTAGAGAGAATAAGGAGGATCTACATATGATATTTATTGATTAGAGAAAGCATATGATAAAGTTTCCAGAGAAGTGATTTGGAGAGTTCCAGAAAAGAAATGAGTTAATAATGCTTTTATTCATGTTAATAAGGATGTGTATATAGGAGCTGTTAGTTGTGTTCAAACACAAGGTTGTTTGACCAAGTATTTTTCTATTTTAGTTGGATTACATCGAGAATTAGCTTTAAACTCATATCTTTTTGCTTTATTTTATGGATGTTCTTACTAGACATTTGCATGAGCATATACTCTCGTGTATGCTTATTGCTTATGATATTCTTCTTGTTGATAAGATTACAGAGGGAGTTGAAAAAAAACTTGAATTATGGAGGTCAACCTTAGAGTCTAAAGGTTTTCATTTGAGTATATCTAAAATTGAATACATTAAGTATAATTTTAGTAAAATAGATTTGATGGTGGGATTTTGACATTGGGTGATCAAGTCATTAAAAATTAAAAAGAGTGCACATTTTAGATGTCTCGGGTCTATTGTTCAAAACGATGGGGAAATAAACGAGAATATTATTAGTTGAATTCAAGTTGGAGGGTTAAAGTGGAGTTCATTGGGCCTGTCATGTGATAGAAAATTTCTCCTCTAAACTTAAGAAAATTTTTTATAAGATTGTTGTGGGACCTACAATGCTTTATGGCTCAGAATGTTGACCTTTAAAAGAGAGGAATAAAATTAAGTGTTGCAGAGATGAGGGTGCTCAGGTGGATGAGCGGTTTTATGTTTAGAGACAAAATGTGAAATGAGTTTATACATGAAAAGGTTGGAGTAGCTCCAATGACAGATAATATTAGAGAGTTTCCTTAGATGGCTTGGTCACATAAAACCTCAGTCTTCTGATGACTCGGTTAGGGGCATTGTGCATTAGATTTTTCCTATGTTAAAAATGATAGAGATAGATCTTAAAAGACTTGGTTAGAAAGTATTAGAAATGATCTTTTTTTTTTTTTTAGATTTAAATAAGAATTTGACTCTTAATTGAACATAATTGAGAAAAAAAGGATTTATAAAGCCAACCCCACATAGTGGAATAAATGTTTGATGTTGTTGTTGTTGCTGCACTAATTAAAATCTGACTATCCAACTAAGATCATCTGCAACACTAATTTCAAATTCTAGGAATATTACATTAAGATTTATGATTGATATTTATTTATTTCTATTGTTTGTTTTTGTAGTTTATGATGATAAACTATGCTAATTTGTTGATGATTGCTAGAATATTTGTAATTTTTAAAAACTTTATGAGTTCTTTTTAAGCCTTTTTAAGGCTTACGTCTCAATCAATCTTGACACTTACTTCTGACCTTGGTGAGACAATGTTTTTTTTCTCGTTTTTGCTTTCATAAATCTTGCAAATTAGCATCAATGTTAAAGACGAAGTGTCCATATCCTTGAAACTTCAGATCAACCGAAGTAGTAAAATGCCCCTAGTGATGAGTATTTTGATATTGGTGATGAATTGTTAACTCCATTCATTGTTTGGTTCAGCAAAAAATATTAAACTACCTCCATGTAAACAAATATGAAAATACCCTATCCTTAGGTAATGTTCTAAAATACTCCCAGTCTCTAGAAAGGTTCAGTTGAGTCAATTTCTTATTTGTTCTAAGTTTTTTAGTGAACTTATTGACTTAAGCATTGGAGTTTATTTCAGGTATAATATTCTTTACAGTAGGCTCAACTCTTTTTTTATAAGGTGTATGCATAGGGAACGAGTATATATTGTTGATGATGCACCCTAGAAATCTCATCCGGCTTTTGGATAATTTCTAACACACAAAGTCTGGAAAGACGGCGCCTTGCAATCACAATTTTTTATTATGAATTCTGTTTATTCCTAGACTAACTGTGGTGATGAATTATCTGTAAACATTCATATACAAAGGAACCCTTTTCTTTTATTAGTTTGCTTTAGATATTAGCTTAATTATTATTATTATTTTTATCAACAGAGTCCTTCAAAATAAGTATTATGTTATTCCTTGTTGAGTTTCCTTGAGCATATAATATGTTATTGCACTTGAAGTGTGTTAGTGTACAATCGTATACTGCTGAAAAACAGAGATTAAATTTTCGAAATTTTTTTGTGCAGTAATAATTATGCCTTGGAGGATGACATGCTCACGACTCATATGTCTTTTTCAAAGCGGTATTTTAGCGAGTGAGTGTGAAATTATTTACATCATCTTTCCTGTTGTTCAAGCTATTCTATTTTTCTTACCTAAGCTTTGTTCTTTTACATCTCTTTATTTTCTCCTTGAAGCATGTCTTGAACTGCTGTCATTTAGATATGCATAAATAGAACATAAAAGGAAATCTTGACAGTAAAATGGCTTGAAAAAGCTTGAAGTATTATTTTATTACTTGAAGTAGTATCAACCCTTAAATTAATCACTTAGTGGATTTATAGATTACAAGTCATTAACAATCACATTGTGACCAGCGTGCAGAAAGTTGGGGAAACCCGCAGAATAAAGAGAGAATTATAAAATCGAAAACAAAATAGAGAGAAGAAAATTAAACAGTAGCTCTAAAGACATTTTAGAGGTTTGTCTGAATTGTTTAATGCCACTGCTTTTCACTTATGTTTAATGCACTTTTCCATCCAAAAGTAAATTTCAGATTTTTTGTTGAAACAAAATTTTTATAATTTTTTATAATATTAGCAAAACATTTGTTGTTCCTTTCATTCCAATTTTCTAAAAAGCTGAGAGCAAGAGAATGCACCATATATCTCAAGCATTGTCTTTGAGAAAAATGTCTCTTCATGAAGAGAAGGTAGAGTTGACTGTAATAGAAATATATGAGACCCCAAAGAAAGAGAAGTTGTGTCCAAATGCTGAAAGAAAATCTGCATTTGATGAACAAGTAAGCGCCATCCTCTCCGGGAGAGATTTACACAAATCAATCTGTACAATCCTGAAGCCCAAATGAGAGAAAAGAGAAAAAATTGTGCCCGAATGAAAAAAATAAAAAAATTGTGTAGGAATCTTTCCTAGAATAACAATCCACCTAAAGAAATCCAACTTCAAACTGACTAAGATCTTCAATGTCCAAGAGTAAGAAGTGATACTGCCACCAAGCATTTAAAAGACGTTTAAAGATTTGATTGAGAAAATGCTTCTTGAATAAAGCAACCAATTAGGAGAATTGATGTTAAAATTCAAGCTAATCTAGTTCAGCTCATAATAAAGATTTGAAATATCATTAACTAGATAACAAATGAATAATCTTTTTCTAGTGAAGATGCCACTAAAAGAAAGAGAGAATATATTTCACCAAAGGTTAGACTCACTTAAATACTAAAATGCTACTAAACAATGCAAGATACAACAAGCTAAACAAAACTACTTAAATGCTAGCTACAGCAAGCTAAACAATGCTACTTAATTGCTAAACAATGCAAGCTACGGCAAGCTAAATGCTACTTAAATTGATGTGAAACAATACATGCAAAAATAACTTGCTTAATGAAGTTTGCACTTGTAAATTTTAGAGAGCAATGTAAGCAAAATCCTGTATTGATGTAAACGATAAGATAACATTAAGGTGATAAAATAGCTTAGGTCTAAACACATGCGAGAGGTTGAGATCATTAAATAGTCAACTAAGTCTTACTTTGCATACATGAGTGGTTTCAACGAGAAATTCCAATGCTAACAATAAGATTAGTATTATGAAGGGCCTCTCTCACAACTCATTCAAATACTAGGTTTAGCGGAGGCAATAAAACATGCGCTTTGTGAATCAAATTATAACCACGAGTAGAGTAAACTCAGAAGATAGAGAGTGAGTGAAGAGTTTACCAAAAAAAAAAGGAGTTATGAAGCTATGACGATGACTGGAATGAAGGGGCAGCAGCCTTCAAACTTCTGGAACCACTCAGCAGCAATGGGAGTCTCTTCAGGCGGCTGGACGACACTAGATCTCCTCAGGACAGCAGCTAGGACTGATTCTGGACGGCTGGACAGCACCCTTGTTTGCTGTGGTCAACAGGATAGCAACCTGTTGAGCTAAGGGAAACTTCTAGACAGGAAGAAGGGCTGTCTTTGAGATATGGACAGCAATTGTCGCTCCCGGGATGGCTGGACGTCGGTGGGCTGCTGCAGGAATTTCCAAATAGCAAATTGAGATGTTGGGCAGCAGTTTTTCTGGAGCTTTGGAAGGGATTTGGGAAGGAAAAATCAGCCAACAGCTGTGGGGAATTTCGGCCAGCAAGGAGGGGAAGTGTTTGAATTAATTCCTTACTTAGGAGTAGTGGATTTGGAAGGAATTAAAGGGGTGGGGAAGATTAATCAAAAACTGACATTTAATTTCAGTTTTGATTAAATTGGGAGGGAAAAGACTTGAATTTTGAATTTCAAGTCATAGGCATTAATGCCTTGAATGGGGGAATTAATGGAGGGGAGCCAAGAGGGGAGGAGGCCGGCGGTTTTGGAAGGGAGAGGGGAGTTTCAAAACCAATTCTGAAATAAATTTCAGAATTTGAAATTTATGGAGAGAAAAATTATTTGAAATTAATTTCAATTTCAAATAGGGTGGGACATTAAATGAGCAATCAATAGGGAGATTCCCTCAAGGGGGCCGGCGGCATGTTGAGAGGGGAAGATTAATGGGAAGAGGGAGGAGAGGGTTTCCAATTTGGAGCGATGATGTGGACATAGAAATTAAAGACTCCAATTTAAATTAATTTGAAATTGGAATTTATCATGGAAACTTTCCTAAATTGGAATTCCAAATTATGAAAGAATTTGAAATTCAAATTTCAAATTTGAAACTTGTGGAGAGATGGGTTGGACGGGTGTGGGAAGATCACCGGCAAGGTGGCCGGCCGGTGCCGTGGGAGTGGCCGGCGGCTGGCTTCCAAGGAGGTGGCAGCAATGGCTAGGCTCGATTTCAACCCAAGGATTTTGAATGGCTTTTCTTGTGGTGGAGGGGAAGTAGTTGGAGGAAAACACAAACAAGAAGATAGACTAACTTAACTACGAGCCACGGACTCTTCCAATGACTGGTGGGCCTTGCGATTTGCTCCCCTTGAGCTCTCTCCCTTCTCAAGCTCTCATGCAAGAAGAAGTAGAAAAAAAACACAATTTTTCATTCAAATATTCATTCATCAATCTCTCATGAAGAGGAGAAGGCCTTAAATAGCCAAAGGAATAAAGAAAATACAAATACCAAATTTCCCCTAAGGCTAACACATGACGAGGCCCTTAAGCAAGGGCATACATGGAAAGAAATACAATATACTCATAAAACATAAAACAAAATACATCAAATATAATAAAAATCAAAAGTAGATCATGGCCGTAGATCATGCAGGTCTCCTTGCGCTAGAACTCATGTAGATGTCCTCATCATAAATGCTACTTAAAATAGCTACTAAACAATGCAGAATTCTTGTGTGGACAGCAAGCTACAACAGGGAGTTAAGTTGCCTAAGTGTTTAGGAAGGTCTCTAGAGTGAGGACAACACCTAAACACTAAGTGAGACTCACCAAAAGTCCACTAAATGACGCAACATTGTAAAGGACAGCAAACATGCGATACATTAAATGATATAATTGCAATGTTAGGACAACTAGTTGGGCCTACCAATGACAAGTTAAAACTCTAATTGAACCTAACACATGTAAGAGCAACCATGCTCTGATACCAAGATGATGTGAAACATACATGTTTTCAAGAATTGCAAGAAATTAATATAAGTTGTTAAGTTATGCAAACCATCTAACAATGCTTCACCAAAAGATAGAATTCTAGGAATCGTTAGTATTCGATTTCGAGAGGCAAAGAATTACAATTAAAATAAAAAATATTAAGATAATTCAAAGGTAGCAACATTTATGGCAATAACAATGAATCCACCTCCTTATAATTAGAAAATTTGCCTAGGAGTTTCCCTCACATTCGTTCACTTGGAGTGGACTTAACGGAAAAAGATTTTAGATAATAAAACTGATGTCACTAATAAACAGAAGGCGCCGAGAGTAATGGCCAACAGGTAGTTACCCGGATTCGGAGGATTCGGTGGGCGGCGAACAATTAACCACTGGTTGTCGGAGAAGCGTTCCCCAATGGTAGTGGCTAGTTGGAAGAGAACTCTATCCACGTATCCTTCCACGGAATTGTCGAGCTCCAAGTCTAGGTTGGCGAACGAAGATTGTTGAATGTTGATGAAACCCTCTTGATCGTAGACGAGTCCGTGGTCAAGCTCGAGATCCGCTAACCATGGACAATGACACTTTGATATTTGGAACAATGGTGGTCGGCGGCTTGGGAACAAAGAGGGAGGAGAGGGGCGGGTAGGGTTAGGTGGGTGGGGGTATTTTGGGTTTAGTGGAAGATGAAATAAATTAGAAAATTATGAGTTTTGATTTCAGATTTTCTAAATGGAGGGAGGAGGATTAATTTGAATTCAAATTAACCCAAATTTGGGCTAGGGGGAAGGGGCGGCTGTTATGGGAGAATTAAGGGAGGAATTAATTGATGCTTATGTGACAAGTGGAGAGAGAAAGGGAGGAGAGAGGGGCCGGCCAAACAAAGGAGGGTAATTATGGATTTACTAATTAATTGTGGGCCCCATAGGATTAACTCTTGATTTAAATCAAATCTGAAATTAATTCAGATTTTTGATTTATTTTGAGATTTTCCTAATTGAATTTGCATAATAGGGAAAGAGTTTTGAATTTCAAAATTGATTGAATAGCAATTAAATCCCTTTTCTATTTATGGTGAGGTATTTTAGGAAAGAGTTAATGAGGGGATTTGAATTTTTGAAATTCAAAATTCAAACATGGGAGGGAAATTTGAATTTGAATCCCAAATCCAAAATTAGGTAGTGTTATTGTGAGGAGAGAAGAAAAAGGAAAGGGGATCAATAGTGGGGCCGGCGGCATGCATAGAGGAAGAGGGGTTTGGGGAGGGAAATTAATGCGCCTTAATGCATCAACTCACTTTAGGAAAAAGGTGAAGAAATCCAATCTAATTTAATATTAAATTAGATTAAAAATTTGAAAACTTTCCTAATTTGGCATAGTCAATTTAGGAAGGTTTTTGAAATTCAAATTTTGAATTTCAAAAGGATGAAGTCTCTTTCCAAAATTAAGTGGATTGAATTAGAAAAATCTTAATGGGGATTGAAATCAACATTAAGGAAAAAGTGCAAGGGGTGGCCGGCGGTGGGGGTTGGCGAATTTGGCTTGGTCGGAGTTTGGAGCAAGGGGAGGGGAAAGCCGGTGGTTGATGGGAGATAGGAAGGGGATTGCCGGAGGTATAGGGGAAGAGGGAAGAGGAAGATGAAGACTAAAATAAAAGAACCAAGAACTCACAAAGAGATCGTAGAACCGCGAACCTTGGAATCCTCCAAAGGTTGATGGGTATTGCTTTCACCCACCTAGGATCTCTCATCTCAATAACTCACTTACAGATCAAGCAAATAAAACTGACATTTTATTCATCATTCATTATCCCTAATACAAAGTCTTGGCCTCTATAAATAGGCCTCCATGAAGAAGAAAACACAAAGACAAACATGTCCTCTGGGCTACAACTCACTACATTCCGTCATAGGGGTACAATGGTCAAACACAACTAAAATAATAAAACTAATACAAAAACACAAAATAGAAAAACAAAAAATAGCTCATAAATAAATGCTCCTGATCGTGGCCATCGATCTGCGACGTCTCCTATGATAGACGTGCCGGAATCGTCTACTGATGTCCTCATCATATTTCTTTGTTGCTTCTGCTTTATTGACTTTTAGGATTCACTTAGGTGACTTTTGTTCTATTGTCATGCAAGATACTTCCCACGCCGTAATCCTTGTGAGCTGCAACGTCATCTCTTTCCTCTTAACCCGTTGCTAATTTAGCTTCAATTTATCTTTAATTCTTTAAGCTTCAACTCAGATCTTATTATTGTTTGTCTCATTTCTCGTCTCTATTTAATTTCTTCTTTATCCACATTGTGAAATGCTTTCTCAATCCCTTCGTATTAGTTATTTTCTCCATTTGCTTGATAAGCAATTTAAATGTTTTTTTTCCCTACTGCCCAGCAGCTGTCATTGTTTGCTGCTGACACTCCATTGCTGACAGTGCCCCCCAATTTCCCTGAGCAAAACAGTTGCTGTTTTTCAATGCCCCAAATCTCTCCTTGTCTTTGATCAGAACTTTGATCAGAATGGCGAAAGAAGAGAAGAGAGACTACCAAACCCAAGCTAACATGTACCAAGCGTAAGCAAACACGGCCTAGACAAGCCTTAGCTTAATTTAATATAGGGCTAAGCTGGTCCAATAGGTTTAGGACTACTTGTGCAATTTTAGCCGTACCTGAACCTCTTCTTTGACCCAAAACAGTTTTAATTTTGCTCAGCAAAATATTTAGCTTTCCCTCTTGTTGTTTGACTTTTTACAAAAGAAAAGGTCAAGAAAAAGAAAAAGAAAGATGAATAAAAAAGGAAACAAGGATGGTGAATACTAGGTTTGAAGCTATGCTCGAATTAGTGAGAAACTTTATGCTCTCAATTGTCTCAGACGCTCTGCAGAAATGCAACTTGATGGTTCACTTTTTAATTTCTAACTTTATTATTTTCCATCCTCTTTCTATGTTAACATTTCTACTATTTCACATGTTTTAAAATGTCGGCATAAATTAAATTGGCTTTCTTGAATCCATCCCTTGTGACATTTTTTGGTGTTGAAGTTCTCTACATGGTGGCTTGCATACTTTAAACATTTTTTTGCACTGCTTGTATCCTCACATCCGTTGCAAGTGCTTTTATATTCTTTTGGGTTTGTATTTTTGGAGATGCAGGGGAGGGAATATTACATTATGCAAGTTTTGTAGCCCATTTATTTGTGCCTTGGCAATAACTTCTCATCAACTGTGAATGTTTCAGTATCATGGAGCCATTTGAAGATGTAATATACCCCAAGGGAGATCCTGATGCTGTTTCTATAAGTAAAAGAGATATTGAACTATTAGAGCCGGATACATTTATTAATGACACAATAATTGACTTCTACATCAAGTGAGTTCTTATTTCGTTTGAATATGAGAAAGCATTTTATTTAAAATTTTGTTATGTGCTTATTGTTGAAGTTCCTGTTTGTTAATACAAAATTGAGCTTTGTAAAAGAGTTGTGAATGAATTTTTCAAGGTGTATTTTTTTTTTAATTGAGGATGTTGAGTTATAGAGTATATGAATAACTAGTTTTGACTTTTATTCTTTCGTGATAAAGAAAAAGGAAAAGGAGTATCCATTCCTTTGATTTGATTAGATCTGCAGGTTTGAAATTTTGCCTTAGCATATGATTGGAAAGTTAATTAAGCTTTTCTAACCAGTTTAAATGCAAATTCTTATATGTTTCTATTAAAGGCTATGTTAGATTTGAATGCTTATCAATGCTTTTTTTTTTTTTCTTTCTTAAGGTTTGTTGGGCAAGATATGAGGTATTGCTGAAAGAAAAAAGAATGCCTTATGAATGAAATTGATAAGCTAGCAACCATAGATCACATAATCATGGCAGTTGTAGAACGTTTCAATAAATAATGTCATTCACTATATATCACTAGGATATGGAGGTTTCTCACTCACAATTAGTCTTTGTTAAATTTGTAGTTTGAATTTTGCACCATTGTTAAGCTGTATTGAGGAGAGTTTGATGGGATTTTTTTTCCTCGTGCTTTCTAGAGTTTTCAAGTTAGATGGTTGAAGCGGAGGAATGCATCAGGCCTCTTGTGTGATAGAAAAGTACCACTCAAACTTAAAGAGAATTTTATAAGATGGCGGTGAGACCTACAATGCTTTATGACTGACAATGTGATAGGCCTTGCCAGACTAGCCTAGCTGGCCGACCCAACCCAGGCCGAACCAGCCATGTGGCTTGGCGGAAGCAAGGGTAGTAGGAGGGGAAGTTTGGCCTTCTTTGTGGGGCCCATGAGAGCTATTATTCATTATGTAAGAATGAGGAATCAAGGGGGAGCTGCTTAGGAAGGTTTTAACTTAAAAAAAAAGAGGGCTGATTTGAATTATGAAATGTTTTATTTGGGGAAAGAGAGTTGATTTGAGTTCAGATTTGGGAGGGAAGTAGGATTATATTAGGGTTAATTGGGATGTTTTACTTTCACATGAGATAGTTTTTGCTATAGTTCTTAGTTCTTTTTTGAAGTTGTTCCTAACGACAGCTAGGGTTTGGGGGAGTGTCGATCTACCTCTCGAATAGTATATATCAATTGCATCTCTCATTATTGTTGGAGTAATAAAAAATCTGCCCCCATACATGTGTTCATGCAATTTCTTCTTATCTAATTTGTTGTTTTTGCTTCCAAGTTGCTTCATAATGTTGGCCATTAATTAAGTGTTATAGTGATGAGGGTGCTTAGGCTGATTAGTGGTTTTACACTTAGAGATAGAATGCAAGATAAGTATATAGGTGAAAAGCTTGGAGTAGCTCCAGTTGTAGATAAGATTAGAGAGTCGCATTTGATGGTTTGATCACATAAAATATTGGCCTTCAAATGACTAGGTTAGGAGCTTATGTTAAGAAAGGTAGGGGTATACCTAAAAAGTCTTGGTTATAAAATATTAGAAATGATTTTTTTAAAAATATATTTAAATGAAAATTTGATTCTTAAAAAGTTATAATAGAGAAAAAGGATTCATGCAGCCGACCCAGCGTAGTGGGATAAAGGGTTGATGTTTGATGTTAATTTTTCTTTCTGGAGTTTTTAGAAACTTTGGTGGTAGCTGCAGATCTTGATGAGAGGTGCTCTTGTTTTGTAAAGAGAAATGGCATTTGTTCATTTAAGTAGATGCTTAGGGTTTATGTCAGTGGAGGAACTCTTCTTGAGTTAACAAGACATTAATCTTCACATCTTGGTTTGTTCAAAAAAAAAAAAAAAAACTGCCTTTTGAAACACGTTCCTTCAGTTTTAGATATATCACTTTTAATGCAATCAAAAATTTGGAAGAGGGCCTCAAATTTTTGATCACAAAAAGACTACCTTTCTAAGAAATAGAAAATGGCATGAATTGCCAAAAAGACACTAAATATGACAATTGAACTAAAAAAACAACTTTCATATTATAATAAACTATTACAAACTTGGATACAAACAAACAACACAATAATGACAATAACTTTCCTAAAATTGCTTGCCAAATGTTGAGAAGAAAGATACAGATGGAATGACACTTGCGGAGAGACGAAAGAGGTTAGAAGCCGAGAAGAAGGGTGGAAAGAACTCGCAAGTCTCCCCAAGAGATAGAAGAAGAAGTGGACAAAGCTCGCAAGCTTTTCCAAAAACCCTCAGGTTTCTTTCCAAAAAATCACATATTTTTCACTCTCTAAAACAGCCCAAAACATCTTCTATTTATAGACATGAGAGGGGAATACAAACAGCCCCAAAAACCCTTCATATTCTTAATTAATTAAGGGAAATGAAAAGCCATCAGTCAACTCCAGGAAACGAAGCACCAAAGCCACAGAAAAGCCCCCCATCAGCCACGGGAAAACAGCCCAGGCGGAATTCGAAGAGGCAGCCGCAAAAACCAAGGAGGCCCGCACGGAACCGAAGCACCAAGGCACGGGAAAGGCCACCCAGCACGGAAAACCATCAGCCAACCGGGGAAACCAAGGAGCCAAGGCACGGGAACCCAAGAGCCATCCACGAGAAACAAATAGACAAGGGGAAGGAGAAGAGACAAAATTAATGAGCTACTAATAAATTAATAAGTGAACTAACATAGCTCATAATGAGCTAACTCTTAGTTAAAAAATTAATGAGCTAGCAAGCTCAAGGGAAGTCAAAACCAAATTTTTTTAGATTTGTTTTGACCCCCCCTGGTGTCTACATCAACTTTCATGGAACATAGCAGAGATCCAAGGTTGCTGGAAGCTTTACGATATGAACTGAATTCAAGGTGAAAAAAGGAGGTAGATCATTGTTGAACTATATGAAAATTAGCAATAGAGAAAAAGGTAAAAGAGAAGCTGAAGTAGAGATGTTTATTGGATGCCCAAAGTTTGTTATTGTTCCAACTTTGTTCTCAGGCTTTTTAACTGCTTAACAATTCTTCTTTCAACTTACACGAATGATCTTTTACTTTAGAAAAATGCCCGAATGGTTTTCTTGGCCACCAACAATCCTTCCTGCAACTAGGGAATGCAGCTTTCTGCCCCTACAACCGCCGAACTAACTACTGTGTCATGCTTTGACTGCAAGAGATTGTTTCGGGGTTGGGTAATAGATTGTGGCGAAATCCCGAACTCCATTATGATTCCATGTCCATCTTGTCTCTCGCGATAACAAGGTATCCCTCCCCAAATTTGGACAAACATGAAATTACTCAGCCCCAAAACTGATTTCCTTTTGAAGGAAAGTGGGTATAAATATTTCAGCTTCCTTAATAAAGCTTATACACTATTAATTAGAAAACAAGCCCTTTAGAAAAAGAAGACGACAATAGGTCTTAATAATAAAATCTAATTAAAAAAAAAAGAATCCTACGAAGAACGTCAATAGTCAATTTTGACTTTTCCTGCTTTCGACTAAATATCCAAATTGATCCCACCCCTCATTTCTTTGATTATTTTCATGAGCAACCAAACAGACTGATGAGGACATTGTCAGCGATTTCAACACGTGTACCATCGGAGACACCGGAGATCGACGGCCACGATCAGGAGTTTTAATTTTAGTCATGTTATGTAGTAGTTTATTTTATTTTTCAATTTTCCGTTTTTACCCTTACGGGAATTTGGTCGCTATTGTAGCCCAAGGGGCATTTTAGTCTATTGTTTCCTTTGTCATTTTAGGCCTATATATATATGGTCATTTCTTATGTAATGGGTTAATGAAGATTTGAATGAAAAATTTGTGTGTTTCTACTTCTTCTTGCATGAGAGCTTGAAAAGAGAGAGAGAGAGCTCAAGGGGAGCAAATTGCAAGGCCCACCAGTCGTTGGAAGAGTCCGCGGCTCGTGGTTAGGTTTTCTATCTTCTCCTTCGTATTCACCTCCATCTTCTTTCTCCTCCACCGCAAGAAGACCCCTTCCTCTTCCCCAAACCCGCCGGCCCTAAGCCTTCCTTGGCAATAATAAAATCTAATTAAAAAAAAAAAGAATCCTACGAACAACGTCAATAGTCAATTTTGACTTTTCCTGCTTTCGACTTAATATCCAAAGTGATCTCACCCCTCATTTCTTTGATTATTTTCGTGAGCAACCAAACAGACCTTTATGGTTAGACATGCTGTCAGTTTAATTTGGCTTTTACTCATTATTATGTAAATAGGAATCATTTAGTATTACTCCGGCAAGCGGCGTCAAATTTTTTCAAAATTGCATGAATTAATGATTTACGACTTTATTTGAAATGTCTTGATATTCATATAATGAGTTTTCACTTCCTTAAGGTGAACAACACTCAATTCCCTTGCAGCCACTTGAATGTTAGCTCTTACTTTTCTCAAAATCGGGGGCAAATCATTTGCCTTTCTATATTTGGTTGAATCTTCATCTCTTTATGTGAAATTATCAATTATTATGGGCATAAATGGATAAGATGAAGCTATGAATAATTGAACACTGACACAATAATTAGGCTGAAACGAGTGATTGGAGGCTTATTATGGGCATGATGATGTCCTCATGAAAAATATTATTTGGACATGACTATAGTTCAATAGAATGAACAACTCGCTTTGAGAATATTACAAACGTCCAGATGTTTAGATAATGCAAATTAGTCCCATGTAGTTATTCAGACCTTTTGTGTATATGTGTTTTTTTTTTAATATTTTAGTCTCATAGAATGCTTGCTTTGTTCGGAATGTAAATAAATTTTCTCTTTATGTGATATTTGATTATTTTTAAATTTGATTTAAGGAATATTGGCCACTATCAAAATTGACAAATGAATCTTTGAAGCCTCATATTGCTGCTCAAAAAACATAACAAAAAAATTTGTGTGTTTTCTGATACTGGAACATATTTTTTCTACAAATGCAGTTTTGACTTGCCTACTGCATATGACTTCGAAGTATCGTCAATATTTATTCTTGTAGGTTTCAGTACATATCATTTTTGAAAGGGAATGAAGGTTGTTTCTGCAAAATACTATCCTTTCCTTTAGGTCTTTGGAAACACAACTGCAGACTTGTTACGAACCAATTAGAAGCTCTATGTGATGTTAGAGCCATTAACTTGTGTTTTAAAATTCAAACCTGATTTTTATTTTGGTTAGTATTTCGATTAGTTTCCTGAAATTCTAAAAATACTATTTTAAAGATGTGATTTTATGATTTTACTGCCTTTTAATCTCAAAATTTGCATCAATAAATATCTTTGAATCTTTTGGCAGATTGTATTTGCTACATGATAATATAGTTTATTGAACTCAAAAGTTTGCTATTTTTATCCATTTAAGTTAATGAGTGTGAACTATCCGTTGGGAAAGGATTTAAGTGCCTTTCAAAATTTAAAATTCAAATTAAATTGGATTGATTGAATGGACTTTCCCTAATTAACGTTTTTATTTATGTAATATTCTTTTCATATTTAAATAGATTGAAATCTGAATTAAAACTTCCCAAACTACTACAAACTTATTTTAGGAAAGTAATTGAAATTTTAAAAGTGGAGGGAAAGAGGGAAGAGGGGGAATATTTTAATTGGACAGAGAGGGAGGGGCAGGGCTATGCAAGGTCTTGATTGGAGAAATTAATGAGATAGGAGAGAGGATAAGGCCGGCGGCCAAGAGAGAGGAGCGGGAGGAGGTTTCCACATTCAATGAATGAGTCTAGGTTCAATGAACATGAAAATTGGAATTAATCCTAATTAATTTCAGATTGGGAGAGATTTGAGAGGGTTTCCTAAAAGAGATTTACTAATTAGGAAAGTTATTGAATTTCAAATATCATTTGAATTCAAATTCATAGACTTTCCAAATTAATAATAAGATATTTTAGGAAGGGGTTTATGAGGCCAATTGAATTTGAAACCAGGGTTTGGAGGGGGCTTGCCAGCGGCTAAGGTTTAGGCTAGGAAGGCCGAGGGCTGAGGGGCTGGAACTTGGGATTGAGGTAGAGTGGTTGGCGGCCGGCGGTTAGTAGGAGTGGGAGAAGTGGTCGACGGTTAGAGGAGGGGAAGAGGGGTTCTTGGCCGATGGTCAATGGAGAAGGAGAAGGGGCCGTTTAGAGAAAGAAAGATAAACCATGAGCTCGGACGCTTCCTACGACTGATGGGTGCTACGACGCCCTCACAAAGGGACTTCAAATCACGAGCCCGGACACTTCTTGTGGCTAGTGGATATTTCCTTGCCCACACATAGGGACTTCCACTCTCCTAAGAACTCTCATAGCTCTCAAGAACAAAGTGTAGAAAATTTCTTCTTAATATTCATCCATTATCCTAATACAATAGCATGGGCCTCTATATATGGGCCTCAAAACAAAAGAAACTCAAAAGACAAACATGCCCCTAGGGATTACATAGGACTACTCCCTCAAGTGAGGGCAAAAAAGTGAGAAAAACATAAATAAATAAAAATACAAATAATAACTTACAATAGAATGGTGTGATCATGGCCGTCGATCTTCATCTCCTCCTCTGATAAGCTTTTACGGTTGGATGTCCGCATCACTATTTGAAGCTAGATTGTTTTGCTAAGTATGCAATGATGTTGGAGAAAATTTTTGGAATTTCAACCTCCCTTTTTTAAAATCAACATCTTTTCCCTTTTTTAAAATCAGCATCTTTTTCCTTGTATTCATTCTTTTGTGAATTATGGATGTCAGGAACCTTATTAGCGTTTGTTCAATTGATAATGTTCTCTTACAGGTACCTGCAGAATAAGGTTCAACCAATTGAGAAAAAAAGGTTCCACTTTTTCAACAGTTTCTTCTTTCGGAAACTGGCTGATCTTGACAAAGATCCAGGAAGTATTTCAGAAGGGAGGGCAGCATTTCAACGGGTTCGGAAATGGACACGCAAATTAAATATATTTGAAAAGGATTACATATTTATTCCAGTTAACTTCAAGTAAGTTGTTAATTAAGCAAAAATTCTGATTTAATAGGTTTATGTTTTTCTTTTTTTAGTAAGAGTTTATGTTGGAAATGACAGTCTTCACTGGAGCTTGCTTGTCATTTGCCACCCTGGTGAAATAATCACTTTTAGAGGTAAGGATTCTATTGTAAAATTATAATCCTAGTATTGTATTTGTTTATTCTGTTCTTATGTGATTATGCTTTTCTAGATGATGATCTAAAGAGCTCTCCCAAAGTTCCTTGCATTTTGCATATGGATTCCATCATAGGAAGTCATAGTGGTCTTAAAGATCTCATCCAAAGGTACTTTAAACAATTCTCTATGCTTCACAAGTAAATCTTGAACTCCATCAGCCCCTACTACTCATGCACACTTCAAAGTTTGAACCCTTATTGCATTAATTATCAAGCAAACATTTTTGGGAATATTATTGTAATAATTTATAATGACTCAATTATTAAGTAATTTTTTACTGATTAAGTGTTTTACGTTAAATTAGTTTTTGTGCTGGTGCAAAAGTATAGTGAAAACTTCCTTTGAATCTTCTCATGGTGTTAATAAGAATTTTAAAGATTCAAAGGAAGTTAGCCTTTGTTGTTTTTTTCTCACATGCCCTTAATGATTGGAGAAGTAATTTAAAATATTTATCCACCACGATCTTCATCATTATCATCTTATCCCAAAGTATTTTGGGTTAGTTCTATGTTATCCTACCATTCATTCTTTGTTGAGTGCTAAGTAATGTGGTACTTTTATTTGCGCAATTTTATATGCACAATTTTTAATAATCTAATTTGTTGTCTTCACATCTACTTTCTAATCCTATGGATTCTATCTTTTTGCCTTTTTTGTCAACATCTTAGTGTCTTTGCTCTGCCCATCCAAACCACCAAGTTATCCTACCTTCAAATCCTACCACCATTTCTTTAATATAATAGATTCTCAATTATTTATTTTTCGTATATCTGAGCCTTGGAACGAGAGTGTAGAATCCGCAAATCTCCAATAAGAAATTATTATGAAGGTTATTTAAAAATGAGAAAATATGACCAAATTGGTCCATTTAACTTTTTCTAAAGGATCAAAATAGTCCCTTATTATATAAAATTACCAATTTGTTTCGTTGATTCTTTAAATAGGGGCTAAATTAATATTTTTTTGTGTGAGATTATTTAGATCCCTATTTAAAAAGTCAATGGACTACAAGAGATTTTAATTTTTTTTGAAAATATGACCAAATTGGTCCATTTAACTTTTTCTAAAGGATCAAAATAGTCCCTTACTATATAAAATTACCAATTTGTTTCGTTGATTCTTTAAATAGGGGCTAAATTAATATTTTTTTGTGTGAGATTATTTAGATCCCTATTTAAAAAGTCAATGGACTACAAGAGATTTAAATTTTTTTTTTGAAGGACCAGCATTGACCTTGATTATAAAAAGTACCAATTTGATCTCTGACTTTTAAAATAAGAACCAAATTTAATCATTTCGTGAGATCATGATTACTATTTAAAATGTCAATGGACTAAAATTAGACTTTTAAATAGTTGATGATCATTTTGGTCATTCTTAAAGAGTTAGGGGATTATGTTAATCTTTATGTCATTTAGAAATGAAGTGAGTAGAAGTCTAAGAGGTCCTTGTAAAGGCTTATCATAGGTTTTTTTGGTGGAAAGCATTTTGGTACGCTAATATATTTAGTTTTTTGGTGGAAAGCATTTTTGGCCTTTTGAAGAGATTAGCCACACCACTAAGATTAGTAATAGAACAACACACCACTCATGGTCGTGAATAGCTGATTTGAGATTTTTGACTTCAAGATTAATATTGGATTAGATTTAAAAGAGTTAACATTAATCTTCGTTTGATTTTGTAATCTGCAAGCTAGGCCTATCATCTTGTCTACGGGTGTCAATATTTGACACGACACGAAAATCCGACCCGAACCCGATCTGGAAATTTCGGGTTTGACCCAACCTGATTTCAAAACGGGTCGGGTTCGGGTTCACGGATTTGATCCATTTGAAAAATGGGTTGGGTTCAGTTTGACCTGACGGGTTGCCGAGTCAACTGAAAAACCCATTTAAAATGCATTGCCCGTAGCTGCCCAGGCTGCTTGCGCTCTGCCCGCCCAGCTGCCCGCGCGACAACGCCAGCATCCCGCCACCTGCTCGCCGGCCGAGGCCACTTGCTCTCGCTTGCCCGCGCGACAATGCCAGCAGCCTGCCGCCCGCTCTCGCTTGCCCGCGTGCGCTCTCACCTTCCCAGCTGCCCGCTCAGGCGCGCACCCCAGTTTCGCTCGTGTCAGCGACGTCTCGCCGCGTGCTCACGTCTGCTTCCCTTGTCGGGTCGGGTCAACCCGGCAACTCGCCGGGTGTGATCCGGGTTCGGATTTCCAACCCGTTTACTTACCCGGGTCGGGTTAGAGTCGACCCGTTTGAACCCGGGTCAGTTCCGGGTTCGACCCGAACCCGACACGTGACCCGGTTTTGACACCCCTAATCTTGTCCAAACTTTCTTTCTTTTCCACACCATTTTATGCAAATATCATTAAGCATGAATTATAATGTCCATAATTAGATAATCAAATTTAATTAATATATTTTTAGGGGCTAATTGCCCCTTATCTTTTATTATTTTGCAAAATGTCCAAAAATAACATTTTTTTTCATCTTTAGTATGTGATTGTGCGGCTAGTTAATTCTTTCTAAAGCTAGAGGAGGACTTGATTTGGATATTTTTGGAACTAAATTATAGCTTGATCTTGAACCTCCTAGTCATAACCACTTTCAGGACGTTAATGTCATTCTCTGATGTCAAGACTAATCAGGCGGTTCACTTTTGATTCAATTTCTTCCTTTCATGTGATTGTCAAATTTTGATTTGTTTAGGTATACCCATTGCCTATTTTGGAAATTGTTAAACCAAAATCAACTAGTAATAGGATTGAGCATTCTAACATGGAGTTAGGTTAGTGATGAGGACATCGGAAGATCAACGGCTACGATCTGGAGTTTGTTTTATTTTTGATGTGTCTTATGTACTAGTTTATCTTATATTTCTGTTTTTCTCATTTTACCCCTAGAGGTGGTCATGTGGTGTTGTAGCCTGAAGAATGTTTTAGTCTTTGTTTCTTTTCTTTTCATGAGGTATATTTATATGCTAGCTCTCTTGTATTTAGTGGATGATGAATATTGAAATGAAATTTTAGTTTTCTTTGCTTGATCTCTAAGTGAGTTCATGAGAGGAGAGACCCTAGGTGGGTGAAAGCAATACCCATCAACCGTGGTGGATTCCTTTGTTCGAGGTTCGTCGTCTTCTTTTTTTCCCCTACACCCCACTTCCTCAATCCCCCATAACACCTGCCGCCCCTCCCCTTCCCACCTTAGTCGCCGGCTACCTCAAGCCCTCTCTCTTCATCCTAACCGCCGGCCACCCTAGCCCCATCCACTCTTCCACCTTCTTATTCCTCCCCTCTTTCCCAACCCCGGCCACAAACCACCCACGCTCCACCAGCGACTCCCCCTCATCCTCCTTCGAGCCGCCGGCCTCCCACTGGATCTCCTCCAACCAACGACCACAACCACCCATGCCACATCCGCCGGCCCTACCTTTTCCCTCCCCTCCTTCCTTTCTTTCCTAATCTCATTTAGAGAAAGAATTGAATACTTTCCTAATTTATATCATCTTAACTTTGGAAAGAATTCAAATTTCAAATTCAAATTAAATTGAATTTGAAACCCTTTCCTAAAAAAAGATTGATTTAATTTGGAAACTCCCCAATCCCATTTTCCTCCAAAATTTCAAATCTTCCTCATTACTTTCCTTTTCCACCAAACCTCATTTGGGAAAGGCTTGATGTCAATTAATTAATTCAAATTTGAATTTTGAAATCTTTCCAAAATTAGAAGTCTAGTTTTGGAAAGTTTTCAAATCAAATCCAAATTAATTTCTAATTGGATGGGACTTAAATTCCCCTCCCTAATTTTGAGGTTCCCAATTAAGCAAGCATTTAACACCTTCCCAAACCCTTCCCCTCATCTCCATACCGCCGGCCCCTCTCTCCCTTCTCTCTCTCTCTCCACTTTAATTCAAATTCTCCTAATCACATCAATCAAAACCTCTCAATTAGGAAAAGATTACCTTTTCCCTCCCATTAGTTTGAATTCAAAATTCAAACCCTAGTTCTCTCATAATTGAGCCTAAATTTAATTTCCAATTTATGAGAGAGCCAATTACAGCCCCACCCATCCCTTCCAAAACCTCTTCCTCAAATTTCTTCCCTTTGGGAGTTTTCTAATTGTTGTCTAAGGTTTACTGCAAGCCTATCTTGCTGTCCTGCACCACCAAGAGACCTTCCTTGCTTTCCAAAGACCTTCCCGACGTGGCAATCGCTGTCCAGATTTTTTGGAGGCTGTTTGGTTGCTGTCCAGAACTATTCCAGGTGCCGAACTGCTGTCCCGACCTTCATTGCTGCTGTTTACAACGTCCATAGCTGCTGTCCAGCCGTCTTGGAGACCTCCTATGGCTGCCATGTTGTCCAGACGGTCTCCAATCGCCATCCTGAAGGCTCCCTGATCTGAAGTCGCTGTCCATCCTTCCTCAAGCATATAATCGGTCACACCGGAGCATAGTAACTCCTCTACTTTGAGTAAACTCTACCCCAACTCTTTTATCTTCTTAGTTTACTTCTCCAACGTGGTTATACTTTGATTCACAAAGCTCATGTCAAGCTCTTCACCGCTAAAGCTTATTAGAGAGCTAGAGAGTTGAGTGAGGGACTCTTGCATTGTGCCTAATCTCATTGTTAGTTTAGGGATTTACATTGAAAATCATTCATGTATCATGTATGCAATGTTAGATTAATTGATTGTCTTATGATCTTAACCTCTATGCATGTAATTTAGCCTAAGCTTGTTTTACCACTATTTATATTTTATCTTGTCATTTAAAATCCATATAAAGGATATAATTATTGTGCTCTAAATATTAAGCGTGCAACTTCATCAAGTAACTCATATTTGCATGTACGTTTTACATCAGTTAGCTTTTGGAGACTGCAAAGGACTAATCAAAATTAACTAGGTGTTCAAATGAGGCCACAATTGTCCTCACCATATTAGAGGGTGAAAATTCTTTGGTTTAAATCATTATTAAAGAATGTATGCCCATTCACCATTGTGTATTGGATGCTATTTTTTGGCTTTCATGACTAAGGTGAGTGCATCATTGTCGTATGTCTTGGGGCCTTTTTAGGCTATCGATGTTCCAAGGATGCATATGCTTCATCAACATCCAA